CTCCGGGAGCCGAAGCTGCAGAGGAAACTGGTGAGCCAGAACGATCTGAGCCTGGACAAGGCCATCCGGGAGGCCTCAGCATACGAACAAGCGCGACAAGACCGCCGCGCCAAGGCGGTCCACCGTACCCAAGTGAGCAGCGGCTCCGACGTCTCGGACCAAGAGGAAGTCCTACAACTCCGACAGCGGACTCAGCAGCGATCAAAACACGTATCCTCCAGGACCTCCAAGGCCCCGTCTCCAAGTCAGTGCGCCAGCTGCGGGGAGGATCACGAACGCAGGTCGTGCCGTTTCCGGAATGCGGTCTGCCGTTCCTGCAACAAGGCAGGACACATCGCCAAGGTCTGCCGGTCCAAGGGACAACGACCGAGATCGGCCACCCACCAGACCACCGCGGAACTGCCCCTGGAGCTCCACACCGTGTCGTCCCACTTTCCACAGCACCAGGTCTGTAACCTGCCCCCCGACGGCCCAAATAAAATGCATGTGACGGTCCTCATAGAGGGAGCCCCCTGCACCATGGAGATCGACACCGGGTCGACCTACTCCATAATATCCGCGGACACGCTCCGTGCACTGTGTCCTCGGGGGGGGCCACCACTACAGAAGTCACGGGGTTTCCGGTTACGGGACTTTAACAAAAACCCCGTGGCGGTGGTGGGCTGGGGCAAGTTCCGGGTCCAGTTTCAGGGTTTCAAGGGCCAACTGGACCTACTGGTTGTGGACCGGCCCCTCTCCAGCTTGTTGGGACTGGCCTGGTTCAAGGCCCTGGGGCTCTCCGTTACGGGCATCAACCAGGTTGGAGCGCAGGATTTCGGGGCGGTGTGCGCAGAATTTCCCCGCATCTTCGATGGGACCCTGGGGCGGTACACGGGCCCTGCCATTTCCCTGGACCTAGACCCCGCGATACGCCCCATCCGCATCAGGGCCCGGCTGCCCCCGATCTCCATGAGGCCGAAGGTGGAGGCCGAGCTCGATCGCCTAGTTGAGCAAGGCGTGCTAGAACCGGTGGCGTCGGCCCGGTGGGAGACCCCCATTGTCACACCACTCAAGCCGAACGGGGACGTCCGCATCTGCGCGGACTATAAATGCACCATAAACAAAGCCCTGCAGCCCCACGCGTACCCGGTGCCGGTAGTAAGCCAAGTGCTGGCAGCCCTGGCAGGGGCTCGGGTGTTCGGCAAACTGGACTTGGCCCAGGCGTACCAGCAGCTACCGGTGGACGCCGCCACGGCCGAGGCACAGACCATTGCGACCCACAAAGGGGCCTTCAAGGTGCACCGCCTCCAGTTCGGGGTCTCAGTCGCGCCGGGGATCTTTCAATCTTTTATGGATTCCCTCCTTAAAGGCATCCCCGGAGTTCAGCCGTTTCTAGACGACGTGCTGATCGCCGCGCCAGACCCCTCGTCCTTCGCAGACCGTCTGAGGGCCGTTTTACAACGCTTCGACGCGGCGGGCCTCAAGGTGAAACGGGAGAAGTGCCTACTGGGGGTGCCGCGGGTGGAGTTTCTGGGCTTCGCGGTGGACGCCGCCGGCCTGCACCCCTCCCAGGACAAGGTAGAAGCCATCACACACGCCCCGGCCCCGAAGTCCAAAACGGAGCTACAGGCGTTCCTAGGCCTGGTGAACTTCTACCACTCCTTTTTGCCCCTGAAGGCGGCCGTCGCGGAGCCGCTCCACCGCCTCCTCGACAAGTCGGCGCAATGGGCCTGGGGGCCACCACACGACGCAGCTTTCCAAACAATAAAGGACCTCCTGGTCTCTAATGCGGTCCTCGCCCATTTTGACGAGGCCCTTCCCGTGGTACTGGCGTGCGACGCTTCCCCCTATGGGGTCGGGGCGGTCCTGGGGCACAGACTACCGGATGGTCGCGAGGTCCCGGTGGCCTACTACTCGCGGACACTGTCGTCGGCCGAGCGCAACTACGCGCAGATCGACAAGGAGGCGTTGGCAATCGTGGCAGGGGTGAAAAAATTTCACCACTACTTGTACGGCCCCTGCTGGGCCTCCTCGCACCCGACCGGCAGACACCGCAGATAACCTCGCCCAGGGTGCTACGCTGGTCCATCTTCCTGGCGGGGTATGCGTACGACCTCGTCCATCGGCCCGGAAAGGCGATGGGCCACGCCGACGCACTGAGCCGCCTGCCCCT